TCCCATTGAGTCCCAGCTGGGTCTTCTTTGGTTGCCCTGCACAGGAGCACGGAGCTGGAAAGCAGGTTAGTGGGATGGGGAGGGAAGGAGGAGTTTGCAAGATCCTTCCCCTGCCACACCCCGCAAGCCACACCATGCCCACATTATGATGCATGTCAGGGACTGTCCTCCCAAACTCCAATGCATGGGGACGGGAAAAGAATTGTGGGTTGTTGTTGTTTTTTCTTAACAAGAAGTGCTGATTTAAAAAAAGAAAAATCTGATCTGAGAATTTTATTTCCTTCTGCAATGATTAACCGGAACATTCTTTTTTTCCTTGGGAGAAGAGTTTCGCGTTTTATTTCCTGCGCTGTTTTCCATTGGAGAGGAACAGATGCTCAAAGCAGATGACTCCAGCAAATTAGTCATCAATGACACTTGTGGAAGGCAACGTACGAAATAGGAAGGGCCTCTCTCCCTCCCTCCTTCACCGCTGGGAGATGGGAGCGAGAAACCATCGTGTAAATAGCTTGCAACCTTGATGTTCGCTCTGAGCCAACAAAATCATCCAGAGCAGAATTAAAAAAGGAAAACAATGATGAATGAATGAATGAATTTTTTATCAGCCAAGCGTAATTGGATACACAAGGAATTTGTCTTGGTGCATGTGCTCTCAGTGTACATAAAAGAAAAGATACATTCATCAAGAGTCAAGAATCACCAGGTACAACACTTAATGATAGTCATAAGGTACAACAAGCAATCAAATCATACTAGGAAACAGTCAATATAAATCGTAAGGATACTAGCTACAAGGTTACAGTCATGCAGTCGTAAGTGGGAGTGGATGGGTGAAAAGAAGGATGGGAGGAGTAATAGTAATAGAAATGCAGACTTAATAAATAGTTGGACAGCGTTGAGGGAATTAGTTGTTTAGCAGAGGGATGGCATTTGAGAAAAAACTGTCCTTGTGTCTAGTTGTTCTGTGGTGCAATGCTCTATAGTGTCATTTTGAGGGTAGGAATTGAAACAGTTTATGTCTGGGATGTGAGGGGGTCTCTAAATATTTTCACGGCCCTCTTTTTGACTCGTGCAGAATACAGGTCCTCGATGGAAGGCAGGTTGGTAGCCATTGTTTTTTCTGCAGTCCTAATTACTCTCTGGAGTCTATGTCTGTCCTGTTGGGTTGCAGAACCAAACCAGATGGTTACAGAGCTGCAGATGACAGACTCAATAATTCCTCTGTAGAACTGGATCAGCAGCTCCTTGGGCAGTTTGAGCTGTCTGAGTTGGCGCAGAAAGAAAGAAAGAAAGAAAGAAAGAAAGAAAGAAAGAAAGAAAGA